CGCGGCATAGCTGCGGGAGCAAATCTGGCAGATCTACTTCCATACAAACTAAATCTCAGCACCCTCCGCAGATTTCAGATGGTGCCTTTCCTTGTCCCAGAAGAGGAACCCATGTAGCTCCTGTACTGGGGTGATAGGCTGGCAGTAAGTAGTCACGCAGTAGGGAAGGCTTCGGACGCTGCCGCCTTTGGATAATGTGTGAAACGATCCCATGGTCTCCTGGGTGGCCTTCAAAGCTCTGCAGGCTCACTCTTTCTTTAACTCAGCTGGCAGTAACTTGTGCTTCTGAAGCAGGAGGCTCAAAGCGGTGTAACAAAGCCTTGTGGGCAGGTTTAGCTGCTAGCCAGGAGCACGTGGCTGTAAGCTAACGACTACTTCACATGATGGAAACCTCACACACAACCTGCACTGTGCTCGTCTTTACGGGGCAAAACCGTACCGGACTCTTCGCACCCCCTGCCCCCCGTCTGCACCTAATGGTTGCCAAATTATGCCTAGGACGGTGACCTACCTGCAATTGGACTGTCTTGTCGAGGGGGCTCCTTTCTCCAGAGCGGGACAAAAACCTTGATGTACGTGTGCCCCCTTTCTCGAAACCAATCCACTGCCAGCTGGATCCCCCAGCAGGAGAATACTTCTTTGTTTCCATGACTATAAAGAAAGAGGAGGAGGATGGTGAGGCAAAGCTTTCAAGAAGCTTAGAGTTCTCTTTCTCTGAGAAAATTAAAAGGCAAAACAGCTTTTGTGTCATTCAGCAGTTTCCAAGAAAACAACCTGACAGGGTGTCCTGGCTGGACAGTTCCAAACACCTCCTCCAGCAGAACCAGAAACTTATCTGAAGCAGTCTGGATACTTAAAAACAGGGGTATCCTATCCCCCATTTCTGTGACCTGCCTGCCACCCAGGCTAGTTGCTTCTATCTGTATCTGGATGGACTTGGGTTCTGAAGTACCAGCAAGAGGCTGTGTCAGACCCTTCCTGTGCCTTGTCTGATAGTGGTTTGAAGGTGAGTTTCTTCCAGCAGGAGCAGAAAACCATGGGGTTCTCCTATGAGAAACAATATATGGGAACTTTCTTCCGTGGGAACAGTGACATCAGGGATTTTAATGTCGGAAGCGGCTGCAAGCATGATCGCAGGTCATTCCGCTCCTGACCTCTTTGGAAACAGGAGCCAAACTCTGGGGGATGGAAAAATGTAAGGGGCAGGATGGGAAATGTGGAGAACCTAACACAGGACACCAAAAAAGGGACAAGACCTCAGGGAAGATGGCCACAGACACCTCAGGCCCATCTTTATCTTGCCCTCATTGGTGGATTTTGCCTTCACTGACACGGAGAGGTAGGAAAGCCCCGGGACAGGCGCTATAGAGGATGCAGGCAAGGCAGGTTCTGGAGAATTACCAATATTCAGAGCAAGACACAGCAAACAACCTCAAGTAAAACAATTAGGGTTGATATCCTTCCTGAGTTTTGTGCTACGCTCCTCCACCACCACCACCACCATTGGAAGTTCTTCCTGCTTGTCATTCTCTTATCTAGAATTTGACTACAGTACACATGTCAAGGCAGGTAATTTGTTAACTACCCCTGCACAAGGAAACAAAAATGAACTCTACACAACATCCTAAAACAGACAAACGCCCTCACAGTATCTACAGAAACCTTATCCTTGCACTTTGAGCTTTCTGGATAATATCACCACAGTCTCGCTCTGGCTTTCAGCTCTGCAAAACATGCTTGTACCTGACTTTCTCAGTTACTTCACCTACCTGCAGTGACAGACCAGTCAAGGATGATACCGCAGTCTTAAAATGCCTCTCTCCCCACTGTCCCCCAGGAATTCAAGTCTAGGTTCTGCAGACACCAGCCTCATTCATAATCAAAGCTTCATCATACAATTCATAAGTTTCTGTGTCGGAATGGTGACCACAAACGGAAAATAGTGCAGTTTGGAGGAATAAGCCTGGTTGTTTATTAATAGCTATCCAGGCAATAGGAAGACTTAAAAAAAAAAAACCACCAGTAATAAACTGTCTGGAGTGCTTGACCCATCTAATCTCTGTTCTAGAGCAACTGTTCTGTTTGGTTTTAAAGGATGGGATCTACCCAGGATAGGTATAAAGTTACCTGGACAGATAAACTGGAAGTGCATGTGAGTTTTTCAAATAGCTGCCTTTAAAAGGAAGCCTAGGTACATCCTTAATGTCACGACTCAAACAAAGTGCAACAACAGCCTGCTTTAACACTGACTACTCACACATATACCCTTGTCAGCTTTAGGAAAGTAATTCTAGATCTAGAATTCTAGTAATTCTAGTAATTCTAATCCCCAGTGCAGAAGGTAAAGCACTCAAGCACAAGTGATTCAGCCAAAAGGACAAGCGGGAAGAGGCACCTGGAATTGTTTCTCAGTGTTATCACTCCATCCTGTCGCTGCTACATTGCTGCAGCCAACCCCGGGGCACGTGTATCTAACGTAGTACGTACGCACGTGGTGTGCTGCAGCACAACACCCCATCTGCCGTGCCACAGAGCGGGGGCTTTAAAACTCGGCCTTCTCCCTCACGGTGAGTTTGTGTTGCCTGACAACTCCCATCAGCCACCCTTCCCACGCACCCCCCTAGCCCCTGGACCGTAACTGACCTGCCGTAACTCAGCCCCACCGCGCTCCGTCCTGCCAGCAACAGCGTACATCGCACTCGGCTCACGGGTCAGCGGGGCCCTGGTCTCAGAAACCAAAGCAGCCATTTGTCCTGGCTCTGGCTCCAGCAATTAATCCCTGCCTAGCACGCGGCGTTTCCTTTACAAAGGGTGCAATTCCAAGCCCTTTGAGAAGAAGTCTACTCAAAACAACTCCTTGGGAAAACTGTGAACGGCCCCGTCTCCACCTGCTCGTGACAGAGCACCAGCCACAGCTTTGGCAGGAGGGACAGAGCCTAAGGCAGGACTCAGCTGGCCTGGGAAAAGGCCTCTGTACCAACCACAGCCTAAAAACTAGGCGTAAGTGCAAGCACTAGACTAATGCTTGACACCGTTTCGGTGTGCAGCTAATAGGGTTACGACAGTTTTAACACAACTGACTCTATTTTTTCCCACTAGCCTTGCTAAACCATCCTCCCGCTTCCCATGGCAGGGCTTCAGGTGCCTAAGTTTCTCCTTACAACCGATGGAAACGCAAGGTGTACTGAGACATCTGACTCGTGGGACTGGCTGAGGGAAAGCTTACTTTCCATTTGGCTGACTGGAGACTACCACATCACTCACTTGCTTCATTACCCTGGAGCATACGCGTCCTTTTCAAAACCTTGTGCTCTGCAATGGGCCCTCAACTCCAATGCTGAAACGCTACAGAAACACCAGTCCCAAGACAGAAAGACAAATGCTTGAGATACTTCTCTCCACACAGGCAACAACCTCTCCAAGCTCCAACTTTTTTGACAGCTTCAGCCCTAAACTGCTGCTTCTCCTGCACTTTCATGGTTGCTGGTGTTGATGATGTTTTCACAGCAAGGAGACCTAACACCCCTTTTCCCTGACTATGCTGCAAACAGCCCTTCTCCGCCTGACAGCAGCAAACCAGAAAAGTTAAAACAGGCATGCCGAAAGCACTCATCAACCCCATCGCATTAGCCAAAGTAAATGTCATTCAGCACCACTTCGGAAAGGCATGCAGGAGAGGAAAGCAGCTCCTTCTGCGGCAGTTCAGTATGAACTAACAAGCTCAATGGCCTTCTCCATCATGCCAAGTGGTCTTGAAAACAGAGCTTGGGGATGTCTGAGAGGAGCTGTAAAACCCTTGCCCTTCTGAAACTCAAAAGTATTTCACATTCCCCTGATTCCTTCTTAGTGAAAGATGAGGAATCCATGGCAGAACACCAGCCTTCAATAATCTCGCAAGCAAACTCCTCTCACCCTCACATTTTGGAAATGATTCTACAAAAATAATTACATGTTACATGCCAGCAGCACAGGTGGCTTCTTGGAAAACCATTCAGGTGGGCACGTGATCTAGGAAAGCAATACAACGTGCTAGCTCAAGCCATCTGCTGCACGTACCTGTAATGACGTTTGTTGTAAATAACTTCTGCTAGCAAGCTCCCGTGGTGGGCTGGGGCAGTGGGATTGTCTCGGAGCTTTCCCAGAGTACTCCAAGCTCAAAACGCACACTACCTCTTCAGCCACCAGCCTACCCTGAGCCTCCTGCTCAGTGGCAAGGGTGCATCCTCTGCAGTCTTGGAAACAATGCTGTTCTCTGCCTTGCCCACTTCTGCTTGCTCTAAAAAAGCCCTGGTAAATGGACGAGGACAAGCTGTGCTGGGAGAATGGAGCACACAGCTGGTCAGGGGTAGCGTTGCGCCACGGAAGGGTTGGTGCTTGGCTCGGCCACTCTGCCTGAACGGAAGCGCATTTCTTATGCAGAGAGGAGGAAGGGCACCCCGAGGATGGCCTAGCGTGAAAATGCAAATGGGGGCAGGAGATCCTGACTCCTGGCTACCGAGCTCATGGCCCATCCAAGGCTCAGCATTTTGCTCTGTTGCGTATCTCTTGCTCCTCCTGAGCTGCGCTGACGGAGGAACCCCTCGGGTCTGGGTGGGATTTCTCCCTTCATCCAGAAGATGGCATAATTTGCTTAGTCTCCAGTTGCTCTGCTGTGCTTTGCCCTCTGGATGTCCCCTTTGCCCTCTAACCAGAGGGGGCTTGGTCTCCTCTCACCTCAGGCCGCAGCTAACGGAAGGAGGAAGCCTTCCTCCGCTCCGTCACAACCTGCGAGGACGGGCTCAGTCACGCTGAGCGGGGAGGGAAGTTAACAGGGAGAAGCGGCGGAGAGCCAGTGTATCCTGGCCTCTCGGCTGCCAGGGCCTCTGGCTGCGCATATGGCTCAGGAAAACAGGCCAACCCACTGCTGCCTTTGCACTTCCCACCCTCACGGCCGTGCCAGGCTCCCCATCAGTACGAGTGCTTTCACAGCAGCAGGACACTGCTTAGGAAATGTAATTGGCCAGGATGGGTTGCTCTGACATTTCCCAGAAACAGAATTAATTAAGGCAGAAATGAGACTATTTAGTACAAAAGTCAACTATTGATTTCCTGATATTTCCATGAAAACGAAGCCAAACCAAAAAACAACAAAAATATACAAGCCAAGAACATTGCTGGGGTTTAGCTGCAAGTCAAAACAGTACAACTGTGATGTGGGGAACCACAGCCACCCATCTTTATTTTCCCTCTCCTTCTCAGATCAGTTGGGCAGTTCTGTCTATCTGGTCAGCAGTTTTTCCTGGAAACACCTCAGCATATCGATTTAGAAATCCTAGGTGCCCATTGAAAAGGCGGGGAAATATCAGTGGTAAACGGCAAGGGGGACTGAGCGAGAGCTGCTGAATCACACTGCCATGAACAGCAGCGGTGAGCTAGCTGCTAGCTTATACAAGGTCAAAACGCAGAGCGAGCCAGCGAGCATTTGGCGTGCGTGTTTATGGGCATAGAGACAGCAGGTCCCTAGAGCGTGTGCCACAGCCAAACAACAGGAATAAGCGGTGGCTCATACGTTATACCTCAACGCGCCTCTCACCTGGAGACAAAAATCCCATGTTTCAACAAGCCATCAGCTTTAAACGCAAAAGCTTCAGAGGAAAAGAGATCCCCTTTAGGGAAGAGAGCTTACCTCATGGCAACATTGCTGCCATCGATCACGATGGGTCTCAAGTGATCGGGAGAATCACTTTCGTCTTCTCCAAGCCACTTCAACCCTGGTGAGGTGCTACATGACCCACGGGCAACGAGTTTTAGTGGGGAAGGCTGAGCCTGGCTCTCCAGAGCTTGAGGTTTGCTCCCCATCCGAATCAGCTCTTTCAGCACATCGTCCTCCAGGGCCTCTTGGCCCAGGTTCTCCAGCACTTTGCAGATGTCCAGCTTAGCATAGCCCAGCTTGCAGAAGAAATCCAGCTTGCTCTGGTGCAGCTCCGTCCCTGCCACGGAAGCTTTTCCGGAGCCTGGTGCTGCTGGCTTGCTAGAAAGCGAGCTGGCCAGTGCCATCTTTGCAGGCGTTTACGTGCCTTTAAACCCAGTGCTCCCGTCTTCCCAGCCGCCTCCAGCAGGCATCAGCTTTAGCTGGGGGAAAGATGAGAAACAACAAAAGGCAAGCGTTAAGGAAGAACATGCGATCTTGGCTAATTTGCCCAGCGCACAGCAAAGAGACTGTCTGATCAGCTGCCTTCCCTCTGCAGAGGCTGCCCGATCTTCTCTCCGAGTTAAAGTATTTTCCTGCTCCCCTCTTATTTATAAAAGCACTGGAGTGTCCCGTGCAACGTTTGTCACTCTCCAGGCGTTAGGTCAGACAGGTGTCATCCCCCTTCATGAGCTACGCGAGCCTGCCAGTGCACAGACATGCTGTATGCCTACGTTTGTTCTTCAGACTTATCTCACAGGAAATTATATAAAGGACAGTGCAACCGGGGATTTTCAATTCACTCGGTGTGGTTTGTGAGCCACAGATAAAAATCTGTCAAACGTTGTTGGATGAGCTCTGATGCCATGGCAACTTAACAAATACAGCAAATTTCATCAAGTGATTTAAGGAAACGCATTGTTTGCAAAGCGGGAACTCTGAACTTTTCTTTATAGTTTTGTCTTTCCTAGTGTGTGCCCGTCTGTGTATACACAGACATACCTTACGAAATTCTGTCACTCATCTCTTCCGCTGATGCCCGACTTACTCTTTTCCTGTTATTTGCTATTTCAGCGAGGACATTAAGCAGCAGCTTGTTTTTTGGAAGCCGTCGGGGCAGTGGTTGGAAGCAGGCAATCTGACAAGCAAGTCTCAATTTCACTTGTATTTGTTGTCAAGAGAAACTGATAATTCAGAAATGAGTGTGCAGAAATAGCGGAAAGCTACTTCAAACTTCTCCAGAACTGCACTATTTACACTCCTGGTCTACCCAGTAAATGAACGTCACAGGCAGAAACACCGGCATGCCCAGAGCTGCTTCAGCCCAACAAGCGTGACAGGAGTAGGACATACACCATGACTACTCATCCATCAAGCCACACACCTTCGGTCACTGATGGTGTGCTTGGGCTGAAGCATCTCTCACCACATCTCTGCAATTATTGGTGCTACCTGGATAAACGCTGTGACTGGTTCATCTACCCACACAGAGGACGTAAGGGCGGCCCTCTTCCCTTCACTAATTGTGGCCAGCAAATGACACAGAATTAACTGACCAAACAACTATCCCCACAACAAACCCACAGCTGTAAACACGTTGCACCCGCCGGCTCCCCTTCTCTGCCCGCCACCGGCCCGCTGGTCACTCCCTGCCCAGCAGTGGGTCACTCCAGGAACTCAGAAGCCAAAACCATCTGGAGGAAGGCATGGAGATGCTGGAGACAGGGAGACGGGAGAAGAGTGTGAGTGCAGCTCCTCCCCAAGGCATTAAGGACTCCCTGGGCTATGGGGATGAAAGCCACACTGGCTTCAGTTAATTTAAAACTGGTAAGTTCAGCACCAAAACCTGTGAATTAGTTAATAACACCACCTCATACAACTCTGACCTTTACTTTTCTATGTAGCCTTATAACTTTCAGGTATTCTGTGGAAGAAACCTGGCACTCTGTTAAACGTGACAAACGGCATCAGTAAAATAAAAAAACCACCTTAAGTATGTCATATGCATAAGGGTAGAGCAGTCACCATACATACACCATCTACACCAAAGCTTTGCTTGTTCTAGCCAGTGGGCTTCACCGTTTTTCCTCACAATGCAATCCACAAGTGCAACGTTTTTCACATCCCATCTTTGTTTTAAATTCACGGACTGATGATGAAAAGGAATTTGCCTGCTTTTTCACCACTGAAATGATTTCCCAGCTTTGAAACAGCTACTCTCTGAACTGAAATCCATTAGCCTATCTTTGTACCCGAATGCAGCTGAAGCTGTCACCGCTGGGCTAGCGCTGCGGCAAACCCTGCTCCCAGACGCGTGGTCAGTGGCTCCAATCACTGAACGGGTACTGCTTGGTTATTTTACTAAATTACTGTGAAAGAAAACTTCAGTTGCTGTCTGTCCTCAAGCTGAAATGAAAATATTTAATACATCTTTTAAGAGCCATCACTATTACTTTTTTTTTTTTTTTAATCCTGTACTTCTATCTATTCTGATACTCATTAAAAACTAGTCGTATTCTGACTGTAGGGTTTTCACCACAGAGAGATCAGGTTTGAAACCCAGAGAGAAAAGCCTTGGTCACAGCCAACACCATGTTCACCCTTCTAACGTGAGAATTAAAGGATAATAAAATCACTAGCTTACACATTAGTAAACAGTCAGTAGCGTGCCCAAGTCCAACGGGTCAGCTGGTTGCTTATAATCAGCACAAAAACATAGTAGAGGAGAAATTGTGCATCACAGACTCCAGCTTTTGCTATCACAGACAAACAGGTTGTGAAATCCCATTTATGAAGTTCATGACCTTCGTTTTCAAAGTACTTAGATTTCCTCCTGTCACTTTTCCCCTCATGCCAGCAGACCCTGTTGGGAAGCTGCTCTTGGTTTCCCTCCAGTGAGAGAACAAAGTCTTCTTATTTCCCAGCTACATTTATCCACAGGTAATCGTGTTCCCGGCCCTATGTTCTGCCTTAAAAAGCATCCCTTCCTGTCTGGTGTTGTGCCCCCCCCTTGCACACACACACACAGAGGATGGCTTAAGTCATGCTTCCAAAATTCTATTTTAACCTTAACATTTTAGCTATTAAAAAAACCTGCTTTTGACCAAAAACTTCAGAGACCTGTCAAGGTCTTCTGCCTTTTTTATATTTTGACGGATTTGGAAGGTTAGAAAATAAAAACCGGACATTTCTGTAAAAGCTTTCCAAAACCAGTGGTTACATTCTAATTCCTCATCCTGAATGACTTTAAAGACCAGTTTCTCTCTAGTCTTCCCCCCAGACATGCGCTCCCCTTGGGGGTGCCACAGCAGGACCGGGTGCCCGCCGCTGGTGTGGGTGTGTTTAAGCAGCACCTCCAGCGGCCTCAAGCCACAGAACCACCGTAAGGACCAGCCTGACTCAGAGGGAGCCCCCCCAAAGCCCTGTTCTGCCCGAGCAGGGGCAGCAGGTGCAGAGGGGAACACGGCCCCAACTGGACTTGGCACTGCTCGAGGCTGAGCAGGTTTGGGTCTTCCCTAAACTAGCTGTGTCCACGCTAACAGCAGGAGTGCGGAATCAGCTCCCTGCCACGACAGTGCAGTCCCCCTCGCCCCTTCAGTCTGGGCTGCCTCTTCGTCCTCCTCCATCCGAAACACACCGCAAACCACTTGAGACCACCAGCCCATTCAAGCCCCTCCACAAGCTGTTTCTCTGAAAGCAGATGGGCTGCTCTGCTGTCAGAAAAATAAGAATTGTAACTTTCACAAATCAGAGATGCACATAAAGTCTTAATAACAAGCCCAGTCATTTGTTGTCTTGATGACTACACAACGATTTGCCTTTTTCTTCCCCACCTTCACTGCTGTGTTTGCCAAACCCAACAACGGCAAACATCCCAGGGAGCGAGCTGTTCTCACAGGTAGCCCCGCGTGCCCAGCACCTTACCTGACAGCTGCGATTTCTGTGTCCCAGCGATACCGTCCCACCATTCGCGAGCCAGGAGCTGGATTCGGAGCAACACTGGGCTCACAAGGAAGTCGTCAGCCCGTATTTAGAGGCTTTATGGCAAGGCTGATGTCAACTGAGAGCAAACAAGCGCAGTAAGCAGGTTAGAGCTCATTCTATAGGAAGGTTTTACTTCCTCATTTGGCCGGCAGAACTCTCATTTAACTGTACAGCTTGATCAACTTTCACTTCATTTTCCAAAAGTTAAAAAAAAAAAAAACAACCAAAAAGGCGATTCCCAATACATCTCAGTTCTGAGTCACAGGCAAAGATTAGTCAAACCCACTCTGGCAGGGATCCACAACACTAGGCAGTAAGAAAATGGCATATGAATTCTGGGGCAAGTGAAAAGTTTTCTACCATGGATGCTTTACCAAGTGGCTGGCAAACTTCTGACCTTCAGGGACACGTGGGGAAAAAAAAAAAATTAAAAATCAACATTTTGTTTAGCACCTGATATTGCAAAGCCTCACTCAAACACCCCCACACCTGAGGGAAGCTGCTCTGGGCAGCTATGGTAAAATATCAAATCCCCTAACCCAGTGGTGCCTCTATTGAAAGGCTAATTCAGAGACACAGCCTGTCCACAGCAAAGGCCAAGAGGCACTTCCCAGTACAGTCCTGAGGTTTTCTTTTCTCTGCCCGTTCCTTACACTGCTGCAAACAAACATGCCCCAAATCCACTTCTAGGCAAAGGGGAGGGTTGGGGGCTCAAGGCAGGGTTAGCGTCTGGGACCCCCTAGATGCTGCAGACAGCCCAGCAGGCACGGTGCCCTCTGCCCCAGGGCCAGGGAGGGTGGGGGTACCCCGCTGCGGAGGAAGAGCACCTCTGTCACTGTCACAAGGTGACACACCAGAGCAGGGCTGCCGGTTCCCGGCCAGAAATTCCCCTCCTACTTGCGTACTTTGTGGGAGGAAGCAGGGTGGCCAAACCCTTTGTAGTGGCATCCTGTTTAATCCAAAGACCGGTTGCTAGTGAGCAAGCCTCACCACCGCTTCCCAGCTAGATCCAGCCAACGGTTATGCCTTTGCATTGCACCCAGGTTCCCGGGAACCCTTTGGGACCCAGGCTGCCCTACTGCCATGCACAGCAGTGCCTGGGCAGCCACCGATGAAAGGCCAGCGCATCGCCTCATCTATCCTGCTGCTGGCACACACCTTCCTCTGATCCACACAGGTCTGGCTGGGCAGGGCAGTGGCTGCAGAAATAGGAAACGGTTCCTAAGATCACAACTAACGAAACACGTTGGTTTTCTGCTGTCCGGAACAGCTGTAAGGGCAGAACACAGAGCCTTTGACTCCACATCCCTGGAGAAGAATCTTCTTTGCTCCGTTTAAACTTGCGGTGTTGCAGACCTCATCACAAGACCACCATGGAGCAGTA